AAACGTCCCAAACAATGGGCAACAAAATGTTTTATGGTTTTATGAATTATATTTTCTTGTAATTCTGCTAACCCTTCTTTGGTATTGAGAAACCCCTTAAAATCCTTTAGAAAGTAGTATATGGAAAATGTATGTATACGACAAACATTATTATTAGCATATTATTTGCTAGTCTGACAGTCTTTGCTAACTGCTATGTGTGACAAAGTCAGATGTACTGAATAAGTACTGTAAGTTAAAATGTTTTATCAATTTAATTAAACTGTTAAAAGCTCTTTGGCAAGTGTTATAAAAGTAATGATAAAGTGAAGTGCAAACTCATTTGGTGATGATAGCAACAGCTTTCTTCATCCAAGCATTGTCACTGAGTAGAGAGAGCATGAAACGAGCCACATCTCCTCTTGACACAGACTGACCAACCGGCAGACCATTTTCATCAGGGACATAATAACCTTCATGAGTGAGGAACTCGTTGGCTTTGAAAACAACAAGAAAAATAACACTAAAATTTGTGGTAATCTAATGGCTTTGAAGCAAAAGCAAACTTCCAATGATTCATTTGTCAATAAGCATTTTACATATTACTTAATGTTAAATGCTACCAACAGTTGAAGAAAACATATATATATATATATAAGTGCTGTCAAACGATTAATCGCATCCAAAATAAGTTTTTGTTTACATAATATATGTGTGTATACTGTGTATATTTATTATGCATATATAAATACAACCACATGCATGTATATATTTAAGAAAAATATGTTATGTCTATATATTAAATATATTTATATAAAATAGACTATAAATACATAAATGTATATACATGCAAATATTTTCAAAATATATACTGTATGTTTGTGTATTTATATATACATAATAAATATACATAGTACACATACATATATTATGCAAACAAAAACGTTGATATGGATGCCACAATTACGTAATCGTTCAAAGTCCACTTATGTTATTCTGTACGCTTAAGATGTTTTTTTCTTTCTACATATTATCTTAAGGATTTTTCCATTGCTTTAGTTTTAGTATAACATTATAATACCATTCATATTTTGACTTTTTTATAATTGAAAGAAGAAACCAATCTGATGTATATTTGACATTTGAGCCTTAATACTATAGAAAAGCCCGATAGGTTTTTCAGTTAGAGTGTTTTCAGCTTATTTTCAAATAAAAATACGGCATGAAGTTGCATCAAACAATGGTATAAACATTATTCAATGTAAATTGTGATAATCGTAATTAATAATCGTAATTACATTGTTTGCATAATATATGTGTGTGTACTGTGTATATTTATTATGCATATATAAATACAACCACATGCATGTATATATTTAAGAAAAATATGTTATGTCTATATATTAAATATATTTATATAAAATAGACTATAAATACATAAATGTATATACATGCAAATATTTTCAAAATATATACTGTATGTTTGTGTATTTATATATACATAATAAATATACATAGTACACATACATATATTATGCAAACAAAAACGTTGAATGCAATTAATCGCGATTAATCGTTTGACAGCACTTATATATATATTAGGTTTTTCAGTTAGAGTGTTTTCAGCTTATTTTCAAATAAAAATACGGCATGAAGTTGCATCAAACAATGGTATAAACATTATTCAATGTAAATTGTGATAATCGTAATTAATAATCGTAATTACAATTTCAAGGGAATAATCGACAATTATGATTTTTGTCATAATCGTGCAGCCCTAATATATTGAAGTTTGTGTTTTATTAATAGATCCCACCTGTTGTTGGCATATTCTTCAGACCAGGAGGACGGACAACAGTCCAGTTGATGTCGTCAGTCTGCTTGAGAAAGTTTTCCATTTCATACATGTTGTTCAAAACACTTCTAATCATGGGAAGCAACATGAAGCGGATGAGAAAGGAAGAATTGGAGCCTGAATCAGCTGTGAAGAATGTCATAGCAATCCAATTACTACACCAAGTCAAATGATCAGACCAAAAATACTGTGAGGAAAAGACCCTTCAGTTGTGCATACCATACATAATAACAGCACTTACGGTCAGTGTACCATGAGGTCATGGTGATGATTCGATTGACTTTGACTTCACGCATAGCATTTAATGCTGCCTTCATAGACTGGGTGTAACCAGTGACTCCGTAAAAAAATGAGATTGGAAAGCCAAGACAGGACAACACAGCATCCTGTCCTTTGAAGTGCGGTTTCAGGCAGTCTTCTGAGAAAATGTCTGCTTCAACCACCTGTCACATGAGGGCATGCGGTTAAACAGTACATGGTTGAGGCTGCATGCTAGTTGTAGCTACTGATTACTGAAAATCTAAGAGATAAAATGTGCATCATCTGGACTGGAACACATGAAATATTATCTACATTGCATTGCCACAGCAGGCAGCTTAGTGTAAATCATCTCATTATTTGGAATTGCTGTGTCTGGATAACAGTCCTTAAAAACCTTTACTTCCAGCACAAAAATGTGGCAAGCAAATCATGTGATGATATCAACCCATAAATTAAACACATTGAAATTTGATGCCACCCTTGTGACTCTTATGCAAAATATTAGCTGTCTTTTTCAGTGGTACTGTACAAAAACGTATATAACAACTAAAATAAAATATAAAACAAACACTTGCATACAGTATACAGTGAGTTATGCATTAAAAAGTTAACATTTTCACCTCGGTGAAACTCTTCAATATTATTCCAATTCTAAAACAAATAGTCATTTCAGCATTTACCATTGTGCAGACTTTAGTCAACTAGATAAGAAAGAAAATATGAGCTAATGAATAGCTCAGACTATTATACTCATATAAACTATTCATTTTGTCAAGAAGGACCTTGCAAAATCATGTTATTGTGAATCTGCAGTCCAACCCATTACTTATACCTGGGAGCAATTTATAAACAATGTAACAAAAAGTATTTCAAAATTTCACTATGCTTTTTCAAAAACAATAACAATATAGAACTTTAAGCTTTCCTCCTACAATTTACCTTGAGGTTCTCGTGCGTCAGCGTCAGTTTTCCCGGGTTTCTGACGACTGCCGTGACGCAGTGTCCTTGCTGAAGAGCCTGCTTGAGCAGCTGCTGCCCGGTCTGACCAGTCGCGCCAAGAACAGCGATCTTCATGATATATCTGGACAGAACCTTGCTGCTAAAACACGAGAATGTGTGAAATGACAGCTGCCATTACATAGTCACACTCGTTTGTACAACACCCCAGAGAAAGGGTTAAAAATATGAATAGAGAATCTTACAGGAATAAGGTTAATGGAAAAGTTCGTTTTTAATCTGCTTGTGATATAACCTGCTTATCTAATGTCTGGAAATGACATGTATTATATCAAGACTCCTCCTCAAGAACAACAACATTAAATGTCTTTGCGGACACATTAAAACTGGAAGTGTTTTTAGGGAAATCACACTTTTCGAGGGAAGATATTTGTAAATGATCTTAAGAATGTGAGCATTACCAAATAAAACATTTATACATGCCGTCAATGCGCAAACACCTAAGAAAACAACAAACTTTAGTGACATAACGCATGTCATCTAAGCGCACTGTGTAAATGCGGTGATGATCAGCAGCATTTGATGTGCAAAAAGCCCAGTGTTTATCCTACATGGATCGCAAAAAACACACAGCAGTAAAAATATTCTTGACAACAAGCAAACTTACTCTAAAATCGCTCCTGACGGTGTGGGTGGCAACGCAACAGTACACACATGCATGCGCTCTCTGCTGTCAAACAGCTGCTGATATAACTTGTGGACTCGAGTGCGCATGCGCTTTGCGAGAATTCCACGCAAGAGTCCTACCAGGAAAAAAAAAAAAAAGCTACATTACATTATAATAAAAAATGTCGCATTATGTTTTCTTTTTAACATTTTTTTACATTTAAATCTGTTGTAAAAATATATATTTTAATCAACAATCGTTTTTGTAAATTGTAGTTATGCATATTTTTTTAAACGTATGTTTGTAATCGGTAAATATAAGAACGGCGTGTAACTGTGCAGACTACAGTTTATGTTCTATTACAAAAAGAAAGGAGGTAGAGCTTTTTCGCATTTGGCTCCCAACCTCTGGAATAGCCTTCCTGATAACGTTCGGGGTTCAGACACTGTTAAATCTAGATTAAAGACAACTCTCTTTGGCCAAGCATTCAAATAATGCATCTCATAATCTTGTACTGCAGTTATATCTGATCAAATGCACATTATTATTCTTTAGCTTGGGTTAAACAAATCAATTTTGCTTGGTTGGAACAGCAGCTACGCTAATTATGTCTCTATTTGTTTCTCTGTTTTTGCCGTAACTAGGATTTACACAAGCTTCAGTCTGGATCCAGAACACCTGAGAAGAGATGATGCCAACCCCTCAGAGGACCTCAGATGATGACAACCCTGAAACAACACACAGAACTACCACATTTTGCTATAAGTTTGATTGCATCATATAATAATTGCTGTTAATTACAAATAAACTTGAATTGAATTGAACAAAAAGCCCATGTATCGTCAAGTTATGTTTAGCACGGACCGTACTCATGAATCGAATCCCAGGAACGTCTCGAGGGAACCCATGAAGAATTAATCTTCTGGGTTTGACATCATGGCTGTATCGTTAGAAATGTAATAAATATTTTCTTAAATATTTTGATTAGCCTATACGTTTTTCTTTTACTTTTTAGATTTTGTTGAATGAATAATTGCGACCACAGAAATATGTAAATGGCAAACCAATGAAAATCTTCAAATATACCCATAGCCTAAATAACGCGAACTGTATTGTACTGAAATGATTCCAGGATGGAAACATTAATCGGACGGACCAAGCTTCATGATTAACAGAAACTTTATTCACAGCAAAGCTTTACGCGTGAAGCACTTTTATTTGATTCCACACCGCATTAAACCAAAAAAAGGGACTTTAGTTAGGCACAAGTGTGTTGACAGTGGACACCACCCCCTTCTGGCTAATATGTTACTGTCACAACAATCACTTCAGTTCCGTTTTCAAATACAGAAGTTGGGCAGAGCGTGAAGGAGTCTTTGGTTTCGCATGTTCAGATGTCACCATCACAAGGACAGTTAGTGTTCAGTATTCACCATGAAGCTAGAGATTTGTCTGTTCCTCAGCATGACAGTTTTCTGCGTATCGACAGCTGATTTTTCTCCTCCAGTGGTAAACATCAGTCTGGACGTGCCTGCATATCAGCGATGGACTCCTCTGAAGAACCTCTATGACATCGATTTCTTGAGAAAAGCTGCATCTGAAGTGATCGAGTAAGTATCAGACCGTCTGATAACCACACGCACGCTACGAAAACGTTGCTTTC